GAGTAGGGCGTCAATTGATACACACTAAATACTGTACCTTAGGGTTCTTTCTCCCCTCTCTCTCTTACTCTCTCTCTCTCTTTCTTGTCAGATGTATTAGACAAATGAATGCATCCAGAAGGAATTAATTGGATTTGGGAGCAGTCTCCTGCATGATCCACCAGGACAGACAACCCCTCTCCCCCCAACAGATGCCTCCTCATCCTCCTTTATTCCAGTCATGCCTTGCAGAAACGTCTGATGCCCCCATCTACCCTGCCCCGCCTAAATGGATCAGTCTGTGTCCCATATTCCTCATACACATACACACACAGAGTGTAGTGCAGCCTCTGTCTTGGATACTGTGTTTCCATGGCAGCCACGTTCTCTGCACGTGTAAAAATCAGACAGAGTACGACCACTCCTATTGATTCACTGGCTGGCTAATGATTCACATTCACATCTGCATACTTAAATACAGCAAACTCACAAAATCACACATGTATATGCACACACAGAGTGTAAACATTGGATCTTTTGAATAAGGCTTTGCTGTGGAAGCTTTTAAAATGGTGAAGAAGATTTAAAATAACACCAGAAAAAAAAACAACTGTTCTTTTCAGTTCCAGCTGATTTTATTTCCTTCTTAGAAGAAAAGAATAGCAAATAAAAAAAACACAATCTGTACAGAGGTCTGAGAGGCAGTGATTGACCCAAACATTGGCTGGTTTTGAGCTAGAAACATTACATGATATTGGCATGATTAGACACACATGATCATACACAGCATATTGCACAAATGAAAAAGAAAAATCGATGACAGATAAGACATCTTTAAGGTAAAAAAGAATAAACAAACTCCTGGACCACAATCTTCTTAAACAAAAGGATATCCAAAGATGGCTGTCCTAGTGCCTGTCGTTTATCATCATCATACATAAAACACACAATCTTTGCTTATTGTACAGTCAGTTTACATAAATATCTTCATGTAATTATTCTTTTAAAAATCTTAAACACAACAGCTTTAGCTACATATACCTGAATCTGAAATACAAATGCTATTTGCCATGCCATAATATAGGAAAACAATTAGCCTGCTATACTTAGCAAACAGGTACAGAAAGGTTAAATACTATGTTTTGATGCAGTTTGCGCAATAACAGAAGCACTTCATACACCTCCCTCCCTACAAAGTCTAGGCAAAGTGGAATGAGTTTGAAATTCAATCCAGTGGTTAAAATAAAACTTATCTTTATTTATTTTTTAAAAGCACATAGAGGTATTAACTCTATCCCAACAGTGACTCTGGAATCTTACACTCATAGCCTATACCTTAGTTTGGTACATGTTTACTGGAAATAAACACTCAAACTGGGAGCCTCGGTGGTGCTGGTGAAACTAAAATCATTGAATCACACTGCCATTAAGAAGCATGTGGGTAAATATTGTAAACACTGTGTGAGGTCAGATTGTGCCACCCACCCCCTACCCACCCCTCGCAAGTCTATGTCCATTGTATATCAACATTTTTTTAGGCTTCTCACTCTCCAGAAACCCCCTTTCTATAAATTTTATACAAAAATACAAGTAGAAAAGCATGACACACTCAAATCTCCTTAAAAGTGAGAAACGTTAGACACCTTGAATAAGATACACTTCTAGCCCTTCCGCGCTGGTTACAGGTGTACTTGTACATAACACAAACGAGACCTGTACAATGACAATACTTCTATGTATAAAAACATTTGGCCGGTATAAATACATCAATATAAAAAACGACATTTGACACAGAGGAACTACAAAGTTAGAACTATATGCAGAAAGAAGCATGTCGGGAATCATTTGTCCTGAATTGTGCACTGAGTTTTTTTTTTAAAAAAAGGTTCAGAAGGAGTTTCTGAAGTTTTAAGTCAGTCTCTGCTTTAAGTCCTGCCGTTGAAAGAGAAGCTGGTGATAGTGAATTGTGTGCTATGGTTACAGAAATTGCGTAATTACACAAATTGCATAATTACGCACCATTAACATTTTACGTGTTTACGAGCAACAATATCCTCCTCATCTTGGAGGGCATGCGTGTTGACATCGATAATTCGAATATCGATTGATAACTATTTAGAGGTTGGAAGAAAAAATAAATAAACCTGAATAGCAACCTTTGTTCAATGTTTTTTTCATACCTTGAACAATACCCAACACTTCAATAATTGCCCCCGCCCTCCAAAAAAAGCATTTAGATTAACATTTCAGTCTCAGTTATCCTATTTCTTAGCTGAACTCTTGTGTTTCACTGCTCTCTGCTTACATTCACTCCTGTGTCCATATGCAAACTAAGCATTTCCTTGCGCGTTCCAGTCAAGCTCACCAAGCGCTGTCCAAGTCTGTCAGCAGCGCGTACCTGGACAGAAACGTGCACGCAGACCACCTTTCTTTCCTGTTTTCACTCTCCCTTGAGTATTGAAAGAATTGGGGAAACATTGCGGTTTGGACGAACACGTCGAACAAGGAGGTTAAAAGTTCCAATCAATAGGGGACGTTACGTTTCATCTCCTATTTAGTAGGTAAACACCAAGTTGGAGATGGTGGACTCCAGCCAGTCTCCTGAGATCATTTCACTGACCTCTGGTGTGCAGTAGTCGGGGAAGTCGAAGTGAGATCCCGCACCGCACTCCCCGAAACTCCAGTCCAGGTCCCTGTCCAGCTCTGTGTCAGAGAAGCCCATGCTGCCCAGGTACATACTCTCATACCCGGTGTTCGTGTTCAGGTCAACCCGCTCTTCTTCAAACTCTTCATCTGATGATGAGGGTGACACCGATGAGGAAGAGTGCGAGGCTGACGGTGTTGGAGAAGAGGCTCGGGCATACCTGAGGCGCGCAGTGTGTGACGACTCGCTGGCAGCTGAACTCTGCTCTTCGTATAGGCTTAGCGGGTCGCTGGACTCCGCCGAGCTGCTAAAAGTTGGGCTGGCTGGGACTCCCACGGAGGGAGGCCCGCTATCCAGGCTGCCTGCCCCGCCGAACAAGTGACCGCGCCTCGCCTCACCAGTGCGTTTCTCTGGGATCTGCCGAGCCGCAGACGCTGTCCTGAATTTGAAGAGCGCCTGGTGGTCACAGGGAGACGCATAATCCTGCTCCGAAGCACTCTTCATGCCCCCCTGCTTGTTTGACCTGCTCCCTCCCTTGGATGCGGGGCTTCTTTTCACGCTTGCTTTCGCGCTACGCTCCAAGCACTTCTCCCCGCGGTCTGCCTGCTTACTCGCTCCGCTTCCTGACTTCACTTTTTTCTTAGGACGGTACTTGTAGTCTGGGTAGTCGGCCATGTGTTTGAGTCTGAGCCGCTCCGCTTCACGAATGAACGGGATCTTGTCTGTGTCTTTCAGCAGCTTCCAGCGCTTCCCCAGCCTCTTGGAGATCTCTGCATTGTGCATGTCCGGCGACTGCTCCATAATCTTCCTCCTCTCGATCTGTGACCAAACCATGAATGCGTTCATTGGCCTCTTGATGTGCCCTGTTGGAGTTTTGCACCAGGCTAAGTCGCTCCGCTCGGAGGGGGACTCGGGTGCTGGAGACGCGTCCATCTCCGAATCTATTTCTCCCGTGTCCGTAGAGTCCCCGCCTGGGGAATGAGCGTGGGCGCTCTCTGTCTGGCTCATGTGCTGCACCATCCTTTCCCTCTAACAGTCTGGTGAATACTGCTCAGAGCAGTGCTTTAGCAAAGTTCGAGTGCTTTTAAAATATACCCTCGTTTTTACTTATTCGCCTTAAACTCAGATCACTGCTGGCAAAGAGGGCTGAAAAGTTCAAACAAGACTGTTCGTAAAACCTCAACCCGTTTTCAGACTCCTTGTCTCTTGACTTTTACCAGTGCCCTCCACAGAAAAAAAATAATAATCCACAAACAATTTAACAGCAATGTTCAACTGCCAGTAGGGCTGAAAACTCGTTCTGCAACGTTGAAAACGCGGTGTTGTGAGCAACAGCAGTGCAAGCGCCTAATATGAATCTGTCTGTCTGTAGAGCAACTTGTCTGTGCGGTAGAGGAACCATGTGGTTGAATGGAGCAGCTGCGCTGTCTCATAGTCTCCCTTTTTCGCTGTAATATTATTGTAAACACAACAACGGGCACCTCGCTGTCTTATACCCTCGTAGCGAGATATATTATCCAACCAGCGTCTGTCTCCATCCTGATATTTGGATAAAGCACGCCCCGTAGCCTACCATTGGCTGAATAAGAAGAAGGGTAATAATAATAATGTGCAATGAGGAACGGTGTGTCTGACCTCATTCCTGCCAGACTCAACTGGAAGAAAGACGAACTTGGTGCGCGTTTTTATAAGTGTGTCTGTCTGTGAAAGGACGCATTAGTGTGTGTGCGTTAAAGGAACACAGTGTCCCTTCCCCTGCTGCAAGGGGAAGCTTTCACGGATATACTTGTCATTACTTTCATGTGGATGAGTATGGACCATATTTAGCTTTTGTGTGGGATGGTAAATGATAAGCAATGACAAGTAGAGATGTAGAGGAGAGTAAACCCACCTAAATATAGCTCAACCTTTAATTAAATCATGACAACAACATGTAACATCACTATTAAACTAATGTAAATTTACATTTAGTGAACTATGGTTAACAAGAAACTTAAAAATATACCATGAGGGCTAATAGTTATAGGTGCACACAAAAAAACAAAGTCACAGACACTAACAACAGCTTCCTGCTCAACATGTTATGTAATGCTCAGATTCCTCCTCTTTCAAATTCCCTTTACGTTAGAAAAATATGTCCATGTCATGTAGGATTACATTACAGCCTGTGTCACTAGATGTCAGGCTAGAGCCAAGGGGAGCTGATGACATGTACATTGTGTGTATGTATATTTATTCAGTTACGTTAATGCACATAAAAATTGTTTACGCTATGATAGGCTGCTTTAAACTGCCATCATATAATTTGAAGTGACGTACCAACTATGATGAAGGCCCCCTATGGTCCTGAACTGATTGACACAAGTGTAATTTGGCATTTAAGTTACCTTTTTTTCAAAGGCTGAACTGTCTTTATTTTGTCTAATTAGATCTACATACAAAAAAAGTCATTTGTGCACTAACAATGTGTATTCTTAATTCCTGACTATATCTATGTCAGGGTAAAAAGTCATACACAAAAATGTCAGAACTCAACCTTGATGAGAGAGGCGCAGCTCTCAGGCAGCACATGCAAGGCCCTTGGTTGCCGAGCTTAATTACACTGACCTGTCGCTTTGTCAGCTTCAGTCCTGTCTGAGCCATGTGTTCACCCAGAATACAGCATATTTGTCTCAGCTCTGTTGATGCCCAAAGGGTTGGTGTCATTATGAGGGAGTGTTATGTAAGACTGGAGCTACATATCTGGTGTATGAGATCCAAGCAAGAGTCACAATGGCATTTCATTTTTATGGAAGATGTACTGATGTTGAGCTTTTTTACCAATTAAAAAAAAATAATAATAATAATCAATGGTTATCTTTTCATTTTTATGGGAAAAAAAGTTTGCTAACCTCTGGACACCAAAACTTCCTATTAAAGGGAAAAAAATAATAAAAATAATAAATAAAACAAACCCATTTACTAGAGCTACAGTCAACCACAATGAGGCCTGTGTGTGTGTGTGTGTATATGTGTGCAGGTTTGTGTGTGTGTCTGTGTGCTTTTCTGTCTAAATATATTTATGTGTGTCCAGCTCTAACTGAATTAGAAGCTTTTCATGGATTGATAGAACTTAAACCATTGGGAAGTTCCTTTCCAGAAAAACTGAAGACTAAGGACTGATTTGATTACACACAGTCCCTTTCTCTGTCTCTATGACTCATCTCGGCAGTTTTTCATCTCTGTTTATTGTGTGGATGTGGCAGACAGTGCAGGTGGCCATCTCAACAGATCACCCTCCTACTGCTGTCAGCCCTTGCACAACGACAACAAAATCTTTGTTATTGTTACATTGCCATGGAACATACAGTTCTTAAAACTTTGAATCCTTTTGGTGGTACATCAGTGACAAGATATGAATCCTACTTTGAGATAGTAAAGAAGAAAACAGTAAAGTCACAAACAAATGGAGACATAATACAATCCAATATACAGTAATTACCCTGAAGCTTTTTGAGGTTTTAAGGCCTTGATTTTTCATTATATTTTACAATTGTAGATGTGCTTCTACACCACATGTCACACCTACACATTCACATATTGATTGTAGTGGTTGCTATGTAGTGAGACTATCAGAAGTAATTAATCTCATTCATATGCCACTGACAAAGCTGTGAGAGTAATTTGGGGTTAATCCAAGGACACATTGGACATGTTGTTGCAGGAACTGGGGATCTAACCCTCAACCTTATGGTTGAAAGACAACAACTCTACCAACTGAGCCACAGCCTCCCCAAGTACAACTTTGTATACTGGAAATCTTCTTTCATTTGACAAAGCTCTAAATAGTATCATTTTTTTGGTTTTCTTTCTTCCTCCAGTTCTTTTCCTTTTAAAACCTATACATCCATTTCCCATTTATGCACGTAACAGTCATGGAGCCATAGATACATAGACCTACAACAGAGTATAAATGGCAATTTAGTGTAATGTGAATGCAAAGATAAATTGAGAGGGTGTCCTTGATGATACACCAATAAAAAACACAGGTGAATCAAGACTAATTCCAATGCATGAGGAAAAAGGACATTAAAGATTTGTTGTTGAGAAGAAATAATCCTTTTGAGCCTTCCTCTCTTAGTCCTCCATCGCTGCTGTAATCCAAGGGCTTAGGTCAACGTGGAAAAAAAAATCAAATAAGTCAAATAAAGGAAACTGGGAAAATTTGGCCCCAGATAGCGATGATGAGGCAGGTAAGATGATTTCTGTGTCACAGCAATGCAGAAAAACGAAAATCAGCACACACACAGGAATTCACAGCAGACAGAGCCAGCAAAACACCAGTTTATCCATGTAGATACGAGACCTGATGCTGTTAACCTGATGATGAGAGCGTGACATACTCTTGCTCCTGCAGACTGAATACGCACATACCAAACTTACTCACAAACATACATATACTCACTCACACACTCAGCAACTCTCACAGATGCACTCAACCACTCTCAGACTCTCTGACACAACGATCGTTTTTTTGGGGGCATTGTCTAAAAGCCAGTGGAGTGGGAAGGAGCGGAAAATATGAGCAGAGGAGAAGCGGGGGAAATGGAAAGCAGAATCAGGAGATATGTTCGTCAACAGATCTTTTTTCTATTTTGCAAAATTTTATATCCTTGCGCTCTTTAGTTTCATCAATAGGGCTTCCGGCATATGACTTGGAGGAATAGAACTTTTGACGTTCAGTGTTTTTGGAAGAGGACATCGCATAGAACTGGATCCATGGAGCATCAAATAAATGGATATACTGCAAGAGAAGACAGAAAACAGAATTCATATTTATTTTTGGGGGATGACATGCCATCAGAATTTGTAGTTTGCTTGAGTTGTTGTGGTTTTTTGCAGAAACGTCGACGATTGAAGACATGGAGGACCTAGGGCTGCAGAAATAAAGCAGAATGAATAGGTTAGGCAGAGAGTAGAAAGAGGTGTACATAGAATGCATAGGCAACATTGCATGAAACATTTCCATTTTAAAAAAATCCCTCGCATTGCTTCCCTTCACCGAGATCACAAAGACAACTGCAATTTCAATACCACCCATATCCTGCGTTAACACCGTTCAGTTTCCCACGCCTTGTCTCCATAAAGATATACCAATTTAGAGCTGCATGCTAACCAAATAAACTATCTGATCTCTCACTCAGTCACCCCATATCACCCTGCATCCCCCTCCTCCCTCATCCTCTTCATCCGTTGCAGGGACATCCTTCGGGCGGATCAGGTCAGACAGGCTAGTTCTGTCCTCTTGTAGCCCAGGGAGTGTTGTCCTCAGCTCGGGCAGCCTCTACAGGGGTCGACGGGGACCAGGCATGGAGCTCTCAGGCTTTCTGCAGCTCCAGACAGAATCCAGACGCACTGACCTACATAAGCCTCTGTCTGACTGGAAGAGAGATGAAGAGGAGGGAGGATGAGAGAGGGATGATGTGGGGGTGGAGGGTGTAGAGAGAGCTAGGGAGAGAGATGGTTGGTGAATATGATTGAGGGACTGGAAAGAAGGAAAATGGGTGGAGAGGCTCGATTTGCAAAAAGCAATATTTACCAGAGCACATGACGTCCTAATGCAAGGTTGAGGGGCATGGAGATAAAAAAAAAAGATGGTGATTAAAATAAAATCACTCTTAACCATCATTTCAAAAAATCCCCTTTTGTCCTCATAATTGTGTCAATCTTTATTGCCTCACATGTCCTCTCCCTCCTAGTCTCTGTCTGTGTAGCTAGATTCTCATGTACTGAGATGTCTGAAACGTTTTCACTGTGGGCGGATTAGTCCGTCTCTGGCTGCCTGCTTATCTGTCTACTCTTGTTTTCAGCTGCAGAGGGAAGGGTGGAGGCAGAGGAGAGCAGAAGGCGGTGTGTGTGGAGGGGAGGGTTTTACATCACTTGCTCAGTTGTTGTGGCTACATCAACTGAAGTCAGCTTATTGCGGGTGTGATTTTTGCTGTTGCAGTGTAGCGTGAGCACTGCAGTGCGACAGGAGTAGAATGAGAACATTTTGTACAACGAATTGGTTGTACAGGACAGTGTGGTTGTCTGTGTGTGTAGGCTCATACTGACTGTGTACATTCCTGCAATGCTCTGGTGTTGTGTGTCTGAATGGTTGTTTGTGATCATTAATCCCCTGTGCCAACATCGACACTAAGCACGGATCAATACCAATAGAGAGGATGATAGATCCAGCTAGTGTAAGCCACGTTCCGCAGGACCCCATTTGGCAGTGACAGTCAGTCTCTCAGGCAACATTCTTGTGTCACACTAACAATTTCTTTATCCTTAGGTGAACATCTATAGGCTCTAGGGAGCTAGAAAAAATCCATGTGCATTAGAAGGTAAGGTACAATTTAGCTCAGTTGCCGTATATCATGGTTAGGTCAGGAACTCTCAAAGCGATTTTGAAATTGAAGATGGTCCGGGCATTAAGAGGGTTAATTTAGATTTATTCTCCAAATCCTACCTGATTTAACAAGAGCTGTCACTATGTGCAGTTCATCTATTTAGGACTAACCCATGTGTTTTGACTGTGGACATACAGTATAAGAAAGAAGGGATTCTCTGAGAGTGAAGTGATCACAGGCAATCAAACATAGTGTTACTGCAATCAATCCTCTGTCTGCACCTGGATACAGTCAGAGGTGCTGTTTGTCAACAGGCAAGGCAGTCAACTGCTTGGGGCCCCAGGCCAGTAGGGGGCCCCCAAGGGCTGACAAGCTTTAAACCACAGCAGTTGCTCAAACTAGGCAAATTTTGCAATGACAGTGGAACGCCTGCCTAAGGGGGCCCCATAACTGACAGCACTCTCTCTCGTTGCCCTGCTAAGCGTGGCATGCATTATTACCAAAGTGATAATAGTCACCAAAGGAAAATGGATAGGCATTATAAGTCTGAAAGTAAAAAAAGAAAGAGGCAGACGAGTAACTGTCTATAAACTGGTAGACATGATGGTGATGAATGCTGGTTGTAAGGCCCAATATTAGGGGTAACAATATGAGTTCTCTTTTAAATAAGTTATCTTAAAGAAAGCGGAGGGGGGGGGAATCATGCTTCAACACGGTATGTTGCAACTTTGCCTAGGGATAGTGCGCCTGTCAAAGCAGCAGGGTCTTAGACAGTTCAGTTCATGAGTAAAACGTAATATCCACCTTGATGTTAAAAATTTCCCTTTTTTATCATTACTTTTTAGCTGTATTCATTTAGTTATGATTTGTAATGAGTGTTTTTTTCCATGGTTAAGTTAAAGTTGGAACGTTTGATCAACCAGAAGGCCCTTACTTTATTTCAAAATAATTCGAAGAGCAAGTAAAGTACTAACAGCTTAAGACAGTACAAAAATTCCATTTAAAAGGCCAACAATTTTATTTTTAAATGCAAAATAATCTGATGTCTTAAAATGTTATAATTTGTGGGCACAAAATAATAAGACAGTCGGCATCAAAGGCAACACCAAAGGTTAGCGCTGAGGGGAAACATAAACAAACCGCTACAGGCACAATCGGCACAGTGACAAAGGGCTGCTGTATGCCCTTTGTCACTACAAATAAACCTAAAAATCTAAATCTAAGGTTTTATATTTTACCCTACCGAAGCACAGAGCCGAGTAGGAGAGATGGGAGGCGGGAGGACGAGCTTAGTCGCCAGTTGGATCCAAAATTCAAACGTGTATGTCTGTAGTCAGCAATTCAGTACAGTTAACTTTAACGTTATTTTCCCCTTATCCATAGCGTGAAAGATTGTTTCAGGGGGAATGTATTCAGGATATTATGTTATGTTAGGTGTAATTCATCATATCTCTAATCAAATGTCATATGGTCTCTCACTGACTTAGCTGATTCTACCAGGTAGTAAATTACATCTGGGAACGAAACTTCATGCCATTTAGTTGGGTCATTCGTCCAGTCTTTTAAAACGTATCGGACAACAATTCCCTGTTCAGTTTATTAATATATATTTATTTGTCAACTGACAGTAATGAATCAATATGGGACATGACAGCTTGTAAGCACTGGTAGCCACATTATTGGTGGCTGGGGGGAAAGGATTCTTTTCCAACAAGGGAGGCCCCGCCCCCAACTATGAGGCAACGCCGATTGTATATATCAATTTGAGGCCACAAAATAATAATTTACAGACTCAAAATTATAATTTGTGGCCTCAAATTAGTAATTCATGGCCACAAATTAATATTTTGAGGTTATTATTTTGAAATTATTGTTTTGAGGCCTCAAATTATTAATTTGTGGCCACGAGTTATAAAAGTTTCACCAATGTCACCAATGTTTTTGTAATTAATGATGATTAAACATTTTTAAAGTTTGAGAGCTCTATAAATTATATTAACTTTTGATCCACTAAGATTCATACATTTTACCACCACAGCCTCAGTTTCAAAATAATGGGAGCAATACAATAAAGGAACAGGAAGTGCTTTGACATACAGCAAAAGCACAAAAAAGAACAAGGCAAAATAAACCAAACACATAAGAACATAAATAACAACAGCAAAAATATAGACAATGCAAAATAACCAGAACAACAAAAGACCATCCAACAGCAAAGAGCCCAATGCAGTCCATACAGCAAAAATACCCAACAAACAAATTTAACCCAACCATCACAAGACCCATCATAAGACCCATCATAAGACCCATCATAAAAAGACAACATCACATAAAAGCAATTCTAGAAAAGTAAATTTTAAGAAGAGATTTAAAAGAATTGACTGAATCTTTGAGTATTATCTCCTCAGGAAGGTTGTCCCAAAGTTGAGGGACCCTGATAGAAAAAGTGTATTGTAGTGTTCCTAACCACCTCTCCTCACGTCTTATCACGTCCCAACTGAGATGTGCACTGAGTTGGCAAGGAAGCGACCATTGTTTTAAATTTACATATATTTCATTCTACTTTTGAAAATGCTGTATCATTAGTCCTGCTGGTTGTCAACTTTTTAATATGGGTACCTTATACAAAGGATGCACTGCTGCATTCTTGTTCACAATGTCCTGTGACACATCCTCATCTCTTCTTGTTTGTCCCCTTCTCAAAATGCATTTCAGGAAGCACAACAAACATAACCATGGCGACAACAGCAAACGAGAAGCATGAAGTTAGGTGGAAGTCAAAATTGGAGGACCAACTTGTTGATTTGCGTTATACATGACCTGTAGAATATACAAAAAATTTAAAAGACAAGGAAAAGAGTTGTACCTAAATTGTAACTGCAATGGATTTACCAGGTAGATAACTGTAAGCCACATTTAGCTTGACCATCATGTTTGTCTACTCTTATGTAGCATTGAACAAGCAAGCAGGGCCGGAACCAGGGTTTAGAAAACAGTGAGGTCCAAAGTGTTTTCTTTTAATGTATCATATTGAAAGCATTACGGGGCATGCCAAATTCATGCCCAACTGATACCTACAAATGCAACCCAAGCTAAACATCTGACTGACCTAAACTCGCACACATTACTTATAATTTGTAAAGTGAATGATCAGTGGATCATGTGTGGCCACGAACCATCGTCATCCGAGCATCAATGACATTAAAAAGTTAAATTGGCCCTATTTGCTGTTTAATAGTCAGGACCATGGAAAAGTTTCACTTTGTACTGTATCACAACACGTGAGCCTACTGCCGGGAAATTACGACACAGCAAATACCAAGAGCGCACAATCACATCAGCAGCAAGCATCTGCACAGGACGAACAAAAAAGTGGCATTTGAAGTAGAATAACATACACTGAAAAAGATGCATTCAACGAGTCATAACAGCTGACATTGCTCTCTCTCTCTCTCTCTGCTCACCTGCAGAGGGTTTTTTTCACAACTAGATAGTGGGTGCGAGTTAAGCCCAGTGAGAAACACAGAAGCAGTGTAGGGCAGTGTAGGGCTTTTCAAAGTAAAAGCCATCTAGCGCTTCATACATTGATTGGTCACAATTTTTGCTGTCTTGTTTTTAAAAAAATACCAAGGTCCAGACCTTTGTGTCCTCATGGCTGCTTACTGCCATGCACGCAAGATTACACATTCCGAGTGTGGAGACTCTGGTTGTTGGTGAATTAATCTTTTAGTATGCGGTGTCTATTGTAGTTGGTTATCTCGTTGCACAACACACAATATAACAACAAAACTGTTAAATCTGTCAGTATTTGTCGTCATGTGTGGGGTAGCTCACATTTTCAAAATCACTTAAAATTTTGAACATCTTTTATTGTGTAACAGGCCTAACCTAAATCCACTTAAAACACAACAATAGGGCAGTCTGTGGAAGAGCCAAGACAAGCTCTAAATACAGCATTAGTTGTACTATAGCCTCTGAACTATGTGTATAATCAAAAGTGCATTCCTATGGCACATTGGCCCCATACTGTTGAAACCTAGGCAAAGTAAATCCAGATAGATACAGATTGAAGAGTCACCATCTAGATCTCATTCCCATTACTGCTGAAGAGAGAAGTTATCAGATCCAGATGTAAAAATAAAATGGGTCACCACACTAAACATGTGCCAGACCCTATACTTCCCCATATGTACAGGGACCCACTGTTACTCCAGTACACAAATGTACATTTGCCAAGTCAGGCTGTTTTCTTCCCCGTCTCCAAAAATAGTCCAGAGCAGACTCAGATTGAGTTTGGATGTGTATTTGTCAAGAGTCCATCTGAATATCTTACATCAGCACATACACACATGCCTGTCTCAATCCAGTTTTATTTGTATAGTGCCAATTCATAACAAATGTTATCTTGAGATACTTTACAAAAAGCAGGTAAAAAACCTTACTAC